AATAAAACTAGAATAATTTTAGAAGTATGTTAAAAAGTAAGATATACAAACAAAATTACCTAGGTATACAAACACTATGGTAAAACCCATAATGCTTTAACACATGGATCAATTCTGGTGCTGTTCTAGTAAATCCAATAATGGAGAACGTTGCAAGCATTGTGTTCCACAGCGTAAGTATGCCTCTCAGTTCAAATTTTGGTCTGTTTGACATGTAATGCTGCCCTCCAAAAATTAGAATCATATATATGCCACAGTAGTAGAAACCATTTGTCCAATTGTTTGTCATCCATATCTTGGTATCCATATGGCGGAAGGTTTCTTCAAAGTTGAAGACATACGAGTAGTTAGGTACAGTGACCTCCATGTAATCCACTTTGTTCATCTTGGAATAGTCTTTTTCTGTCTGCTTCTCACAAAACAATCAGAGAGGCCTTATTTCTTCACCTCCCTAATGCCAATTGACTGAAAAGAGAGAAGAATAACTGTTAAGAATGTTCACTGAAATATTTCAATTTAAACAAAAATTTCTTTTTCGTCAAATTCTTAGAAACTTATTCTTTTATTTCCTGTCAAAGGAATTTTTTTAGTCTACAGTTACTTTACACAAACATTACAATTTTCGTCTTTTTTTGTTTTTAATTATAAGAATATGGAAATTCTTATTCAGGGTATTACCTTATCTTTAAAAAAATTCATTTAAAAATTTGATTTCAAGCGGGTAGAATCACACGTTCTGATATTAAGCTTACATAACATTGTGTTCTTCTTTTTTTTTTTTTACATCATTTGGTATCGTGAATTCTTTCTACATCTTGTTACGCTGTTAAAGAACAATGTTCGTTACGAAAATTAAATTACCTAATACAATATTTGTTTCGACATGCGATCATTGTTATTCAGAAAATCGTTGTATCACGTTCTTCTCTTTTCAAAAATATACCGAATTTTTAAGTTTCGTAAATCTCTTCGAGCAATACAAAAGTAAAAAATTTAATTATTTATATATTAATTATATTTGTACCCTTTTCCTCTTTTAAACGCTATAATTTCATAAAATATTCTTTTGGTCTTTCATCAACATTTTGATATTATTTTTTATCAACATATCTCATAACTATTCTTATTTCGAAATTTTACAACGTAAACGCGATATAGAAGGTATTTTTAAAATTCCAACTTAAAAAAACAAAAGGAAGAAAAGAAAGGAAATCTTTATCTTTTTCCAATTTATCAAAAATAACGAAAACTATATACAATCATGCCTACATTATCTGTTATGTATAACGAGAGCAAGATAGTTACTGGAAGCAAAATAATTCAGAAACACGTTTTCTGTCTTATATGATATGTTTATTTTTAGATTTAATGATATTCGCCAGAAAAAAAAAAAAAACGCCTTTATTGAGTGAACAAACATGTTCGATGGGTCAATATTTTGACGCAAACTATAATGGAATTAAAACAGTTGCTGAATTCTTCGAATTTAAACCGTTCGAAAATCATCAGAACCTTCGAATGAAATTTTCAGCGAAACTATGAAAAATGTAGTAAATCAACGTCCTCTTAACCCCTTGCGCTACGATTTAATTGTAAAAAATTGCGCACTAAAGATGCATTTAATTTTAACTAGCCACTATATACAAACTGTTACGAAGAAAACAGCATATTTTATTTTACGATTCGTACATTTTGAAAATTAATAAAAGTACATTATTCGTTTGGATATAATTCATAGCGGAAGATCAAAATGACAAATATAAAAAAACATAATTCAAAATAGAACTTTAATTAGATATAGCCAATAGTTTTCAAGGGTGTGGTACTTTTCAATGCATTCTGGAAAATGTTGTAAAGGTATCTGGCATTGTTTACATTGCCAGGGAATCTCACTTCTAATGCTATTCTTATAGCATACAGGATTGCTTTTCTCCCAAATCAGAAATATGTTCAGGAAAATGTCCCCAACTTTTGGCTTTCAATCTGAATGGTGTACATATCACTATGCGAAGGACGTCTACGTGTCTAACTTACACGTGTCATTAGGATTTGTTCTGTTACATACACTACCGGTCAAAAGTTTGGAATCACTGTGCATTGCAAGTTACACAAAAATTCGCAGAAAAAAGTCAGCAGCTTTAAGAATTTTTTAACGAATTTTGTATCATTCAAATCAATCGATATGAGATAAATTGCTATTTATCTCCACAATATCAATATCAAGTCTATGAAAAATTAGTAGCAGATTCAGTAGTGATGAAAATTGGAAGGTGATTCCAAACTTTTGGCCGGTAGTGGATGTCTAATCGAAAGCTTCCAATCCCTTTTTTTTTTTTTTCGTTCATCTTGCTATGTAAAATATGTGTATGTATTTTTGAGTGCAATGGGAAACATGCAAAAAAATTTTTTCGCACATTTTCGCATAACAGGAAAGCAAGCCACCTGTTGATCGAGTTTATCAACGAGCTACAACACTCGTCATAGTGCGGTTTGGCACGAAAAACTCGAGACGAGCTAGACGAGCAAGGGGTTAAAATCTGACGAAATTAGACAAATCTAGCATCGTCTAACTTTCGAAATGTATGCCAAGCTTTTCTCAAACGATAATAAAAATTTCGCATATCAATGCTATTTTCAAAATAAAAAAACAAATTGCTATTTTCAATATAAATTAATAAATAAATATGAGCATTGAGACGAAATTTTTTACTAAATTTTTAACGACCTGTGCAAAATTCTAATCGACACTTTTTTCCTTTCATTCTACAGCACTCTTCGATTCGACGTTTGCTCAAGATCAACCTGAAAGCGTGTGAACCTATACTGGTCCTCCTTAACTTAATTGTCCTAACAATTGTTTGAACATCCGTGAAAAAATGAAGATTTTCAAAAAATTTCGAACCATCTGAGAACACAGTCAGGACAATGTTTACAGTGTCGAAAAAGAAAAAAAGTAGAACGTTCTTGCATAAAAGGTGTAAAACAGACGAAGGTTCGAATATAACAAAAATATCCTAAAGGAAAATAAAAAATTGTTAGATTAGATTTTTTAACTACCAATACCGCTACAAATGCAATTTAAAATGTACATCTTTTTCACAGCTTGGTACGAACATTTGGTCGAAAAATTTCTAGCAAGAAATGAGAAAGAAAGAAACGAACAACGGCGTGTTTACGCAATTAGAAAACAATTTGCACCGGAGCAAATGAAAAACAGTCCTAATTCATTCCAGCTGAAGCCGGTTCTAACGGGTCGTCCGTAATTCACTTGGACGAAAAAAGGGAGGAAAGATTTTCCTCCGTCTACTCGATCGTACTTAACCCACATTTGCTGTGAATTGAACATTCCTCGGATAATAATCAGCCCCGTCTTGAGCCGTTAGACTTGATTTGTGAACACCGTGAAACGTTGGAGGTTTTTTTTTGAGGAACAAGAGAGAAACGTAAGTTCTTCGTTGATACATCGAGTTAACCCACTGAAACACTTGTTCAACCGCGGTGTACACCGCGAAAGGTTCACAGATAGGTCCACGATTTTACAATCCAATTTAAAAACGGTTAAAAAAGTAACGGCAAAAAATATTATGCTTTTTATATATCAATGAAAAATGTATACTTCCTTTCTTTTCGTCAGATAAACGAGAAAATATGATATATTTTTTGGTTCGCCGTAGACTTTTAGTAATTACATACAGTGACCGAAAAAAAAGTATTCATACACCCTATAAAATGGAATAACTTTTTTAAAATTGGGCCAAACGACTTGAGTTTTTTTGAGAAGTTAGAAAGACTAGTTTACTAGACGAAACGCTGCCTGGAATTTGAATACAATGATAAAACGTTCATTTGACAAAAGAGCATTAGTTAAACAAAAAAAAAAGGGGGGGATACAAACTTAACCCTTTGCACACGAAGGCCCTTTTTTCTAGAAGGAAGTAGCAAAGATTAGTGTAATTTTTTAAAATTGACATTTTTATTAGAAATTGGTTCTTTCGAACTGTTTCACCGCTGAGATCTCTAAACATGTAGTGAACGACTCACGGAGGTCCATAGACCTGCTGTCTTGGAAAATATCATGCTTAGAGTTGCCTCTAATGGTAAATATAACGTCGCTTCTTAGTCGCCTCTCGAGTGCGCAAAGGGTTAATACGGCAATTAAATGATACTCCTGGTCGCGATTAAATGTGAAAAATGACCAATCGCCTTTTTTTTAATTTGTTCTAATCGTTCGATAAATGGAAATGTAGTCCGAAATAGGAAATGTACATTTCATTGAAATTTCATTTTAATGTATGCCCAACCGCGCATAAATATGTAAGAAATTGTATTACAATAATTAAATGTGACGACATTTGACAATTTCACGACCAATTATAATTAGACCAACGTTTAACCACACGACTCACGATTCGTGAGATCGTCAATTGTCTGAACATATTTTGCAAAAATTACATTTAATCGATTATTGTTATTGCATTCTGTAGAAATATCACGCTATTCGATTTGATTATTATTATCTCTTGGAAAATTTACACGTGTGAAAATGTTGTACCATTATATTGCCTCCAGATTTGTAGTTGACGCAATCACTTATGCTACCGTGCGTAAGTATTTGGACACTATGCAGGAAATATACTTTAAATAAAACTTGCGATCTTATTTCAGGCGACCCGAATAATGTTTATAAATACCAATGAAAATAACATTGGACATGAATTAGTATAAATGGAAAAGCAATAACTGAAATCGGTGGAAAATTGATGTTGCGAAGACACACTTGAGTTCATCGACTTGAAGTGTTTGTCGAAAATTGAATGAAAGTTCTTACCCCAATACAATGTTGTGCCAAGGGTCAAACATGGAGGTGGTAATGTAATGTTTTGGCGCAAAATAAAGTGGACAATTTAGTAAGAATAGATGAAATTCTACGAAAAGAAGAATATTTCAATATTCCAGGTGGACACAATAGACGAACGCAATATTTCATAAATTTCGTGCGTTGAAAAAGTTCTCAGACTGGTTTAACAGTGGGTTTACGAGACGCGTCATTTTGACGCATTTCGAATTTCACAAGGACAATTACAGAAACCGTTTACATTTCTCTCCTACCATTTATGCGTATCATAAATTTTATATAAATATATAATATCACATAGTTTCATTTAATAGTGTGTAATATGTTGTTTTTTAAAGAAAATCTGCGGTTTTGTTCACGCGTCAATTTGACGTAGAGATAGGTATATAAGAAATGTCTGTAAACCCTCGTGTTAATAAAAAATCGAGTTTTCTAGATTAACAGAATTTTATTATTTAGTTTTCTATATACATCCCTCATAAAAGTTCATAGAGTCGTTGGAAGGCCTTGGAAAACTCCTCGCGAGTTATCGCATTTAAATATGCTCTGTCACGGCGTGTTGAATTGCCCTCACACATCTTCGTAACGAGTCCCTTTCATTGGCAATTTG